CAATTCCAAGCATTTTTCGATTTTCATGGAGATTCGCTCTGGTGAGTTTACGAACTTTTGTGCCTTTAAGCATGCGAAGAAATTTTTCGTTTTTATAGCTTTATTCTTTCTTCCAGTCATTTTTTATCATTTTTAAATTTTTTTCTCAGGGTCGGTTTGAAGCTTGTCGATGGTGAAATGGTTGATGTTGTGAATGTGGCCCATTTTATCGAACAAATGCTGACAAAAACAAAGGATTATTTCGCTTCCAACGGAAGCATGGATTTGAAACAGTTCTCGTTGGAGGAATTCCAGAAAAAATTTGATAGCATCCTTACAAGTAAGAGAGCTTTAGTAATTTAGTACGTGCTCACTGTTTTATTTTTCAGATTTTTGATTTCATAATTTTCATACTTTTATACATTTTACATTGTGTGCGGGTTGTTTTAGATCTTTACTTTGACCCGAAAGGACCTCTTATATTTGTGTTTTCTCTGACTTCTCTTAAATTCTTTTTTCCGTGTGCGAATTGATCTCGCTTGTTCAAATTCAACAAGCGATATTTTTACTATCTCTGTTAGTTTCGATATGAACTAACTTGTTTTAATTTTTACTTTTATAAGCTTTGACTATAAAAGATTTACTACACGTAATGAATCAATCAAGCGAATGAGAGGCAATTATCACAATAGTCACATAGCATAGATTTTTGATCTCTGAGAATATAAATTTTAAACAACACAATCTAAGAAAATCTGTACATGTTTGAAATCGATTTTTCTTGAAGCAAGATCCTGAGACATGAAATCTTCTTTTGATATTGCTGCTAGCCAAAAATCCTATGCTGTAGCTGCGCGTTGAAATTTGTAACTCAGTCTTCTTTAACAAGAGCTTTCGGAAATAGGCCAGGTGGTAGAGTTTTGAAGCCTTCGACTTTGCCTTTGTACCAATAACTATCGACCTGAAAGTGAAATACTAGCGAATCGGATAAATGTTTTGCATAGACTTACATCTTCAACGATGACTATCTTATCGCCTTTTGAGAAATAAAGCATTTTTGGATCATCACTAGCGTGATCCGCTATTGCAGTTACTACCTGAAAAAAAAAAACTAAATATTTCGAATTTTAAATGTCACATTTTGTTTGTGACTATTCTTTGATGAAGACGGAAAATCCTCATTAGGATATTTCGAAAATGTCTGGCATAGCCTCTATCTCAAAGACAGTGGTGTCTCGCGCAGTCCGGATCGCGCGCGGCCGCCTCATTTGGAACCTGCGGCGCGGCTGTGGACGTATTCTCTGAACAATCTCACATGTCATTAACTTTCAATTATTGTCAGAGAATAGTCGCTGACGCGGCG